TATTATTTTTTACAAAAAGAAATTTACATTATCGTCCTCTTTTTACCAGCATTTTTCTATGTTGTTATTTTTCCACTCTTCAATCACAATTCTATTTCTTCCTATTTGTAATATTTCTCTCTCGCAATAGTCATAATAAATTAAGAGAGTTGGATACAACGTCAAACCAATTAAATGTCCTACAAAAGTTCTGATACAAATACTCAAACAATTTGTTAAGAATGGTACAGTAAATCCTGCATATCAAATGAGCGACAATATTCATAAAAGAAAATTGTTACCATATGAGTGAAATAGTACCAAAATGGAGAAAAAAAATGCTAAAGAAATTTTGAGAGGACCTTGAACTAGCATGGCTAGATACATTCACAAATAAATACTCCGTTGTACTATTAAACTTTACTTGAATCACACACAGGCTCCATATATATCTACCCCTCATGCATGCATGCTATATTGCTATCTTGTCCAGAAGAGGACTGATCATCACGCTCCCCCTTGCAGAATCTTTTCTATTGAAGGAATATAACCATGAAAGAAATAGAGAAGGGTGAGTATGATACCTAGGCGATCAATAATTGCTGAAAAAGCACTAATGGCCTGAAACTGGTATACAATAATGGAAAAATCCCCAAGGATGTGATTAAAAGCAGATACTGATTGATTAATAACACCAAACTCAATTTTCCCAGAGAAGTACATTGGGGCAACAACAGCAGCGGGAAGAATCTGAATGAGGTAGCGGTAGCCATTGGTAAAGAACTCAAGATTTCTGGATGCTATTAGTAATTTCTGTGAAGCAACATATTCAAAGAATACGGTAAGAACCCACAGAGTTGAAGAAACCCAAATACGACTGCAACCAAAATATCCAACATTGGAGTACTAACTACAACAAAATGGATGTTGAGCTTTGACAGAGATCATCTCATACCAAAACTAAATTCCAAAGCTTGAAATATCTAAACTCATGAAACAGAAATGAACAGACAACATACTTAAGATATACTCTATGACAGAGAAAAGGACATCGAGATCCAATGTAATTCATATCTACATGTAAACCTAAGTTGTAATACAGATAACAGCATATATATACTTATCTTTTCACTCTGACAAAATGATAATAAAGTATAAGGCACCTTAACATTTAGACATTGAAACAATCACTCCACATGAAACTTGAAGTTATAGACATATCCAGCATATTAAAATACTAACTGTTAAATTCTCGACAGCACTTCTGAAACGCTGCAGAATGAGCTGCATCTCATTCTCTTCACCACCATAGAAGGCAATTGATTCAGCATTTTCACGAATGCGAACAAGTCCATAGCGAAAATCTGCTTCTTTCTTTTCTTGCAAGAAGTTTAGATTAACCAAACCCTGCAATAAATTCATGGTAAATTTATAAGAGCCTAGCTAGATCAAGTTTCCAGGAAAAGAAAAAAAAATTATCATAAATCAGCCAAGGAATATCACCTTTCCTAGGAAAACACTAATTGCCGTTCCCCCAATCGAATATAAAAGAAGAACGACGAACAACGGTGGATAGATACCAAATAAAATGTTACTAAATGAAATCAAATCCACTGTAGAATTGAAAAGTGCCAAAGAAAATGAGAGAGCTGTCCCTGTGAAAGAACTGAGATCATCAACAATCCTCTGGTCCGGATTGTCAATAATGGATTGGGACTGAATTTTATAGAAAGACTGGTTCTTTAGATAGCGCTCCATGTAATGTTTTGTCATCCATGACCTCCATCTAAGGGAAAGCACGTCCTTTGCATAATCTCTCAATACAAAAACCTGTAAAGCAGTGAATTTGAGCCAGGTAATACGAATAAAATGTTTATAGTTAAATTACCTGTGAGAAGAATTACGTTAAGAAATTGTAAGATGAATTGCACAATAATGATGGAAATTCATTTGGTCTAGTTCATAAAATTTAAAGCAGCGCTTTCTATTGTTTTTCCTTTTCCATACCTTCCTTTTTCTGTTAGAATAGATGCTAAGGTAAACCAAATGTATCTGACTGATAAATGAAGCCAACTCTTTTCTTCAAATACGAGACAACATTAAAGGCAGTGGACAAATTACTCTACTCTCCTTTCAGAGATGGGAGGTTTTAGAGGGTTTATTTTTTATTAAATTAAAACATATTTGACTGCAATAACATTTTGATATTCATACTTCTTTTTGTAACGAGATTTAGTCTCTCATGCTTCAAAATAAAATATAAGGATTGAGTTTTTTTATGAATTTAACTTTTCACCGTAATGGAGTTGTGAGAATGTACAAATAATTAAACCACCCTTAATGTTGGATTGTAGGATAATTGTTGAGTTGAAATTATTCATATTTTATACATAGATTGTTTATCAATTAAATTTGTAATGAAATTTTTAGCTCAAAGAGCTAATTATTACATTTCCTTAAAAAATAAGGCCTAAATTTTTATCAATACACATCCAAGTAGAGACTAATGGTATATTTTAACCTTTTTTTTTTTAATGTTGTAAAACAGAGTAGACAAGTAGAACAATACCTAAGTGAAAGAGGAGACCAGTGTGCTCACCGGAATACCTCCAGCAAAGGCACCTAGGTAGTAGAGGAGTTGCTTGGTGAACTGTTCTTGGTCCTTGTCTGTTTGCGATACCCGTTAAGGAGGTGAAAATGTGAATATGAAAATAACGAGGTTAATTAATGGAATAAGCATTTGCACGCTATCGATTGTAAGAAGGAAGAAGAATCGAAGAATTACTAGCAAGAGCGTTATAGAAGTCGCGGCCGAGGAAATTGAAGCCAACACTGATGCCAGTGGTGCCCAAGGTTAGAGCAAAGACGGCAGCCAGCTGCCATCGAGCTTGCACTTTGTCATCCGAGAACCAGTAAGGTGCGGCCACTTTCCAGAACCTCTTCAAGAGCATTTTCGGATCAGGTCCAGGCCTCTGAGCTTCCTCATTCTTCGTCATCCGGAATCAAGCTCATAATCATTCTCCACAAGCAATTAGCAGAAAGAAATTAAAACACGAGAACGGAACTGACCTTATCTGGACCTGAACCTGGTGTAGGAATATCCAGCGGCTGAGTCGAGGAAGACAAGTCGGAGGCCGTCGCAGAAGACCTAACGTTGACAAAATTATTCCTAGACTNAGCGAGACTTCCGCCGCTGGAAGCGGCCGTGACCGCCACCGCTGGAGGTAAAAGTTTACAGACATTGAAAGGAACATGAACATGAAGAGTAGCTCCATCGCCATAACCACGCAGCGGAAGTTGCCGCCGGTGATACTTGTAGATGTGATTATCGGAAACTGTAGAGGAAATCATGAAAACAGAGGATGCCTGTGAGCGCAGTATCATCTTCTCTCTCAGTGGAGAACGAAAATCTCCTCCGCTATACAATTAATTGGTCGATTCAAGAGAACTTGGCAACAAAAGCTGTGAAAATTCGTAAGGAGACGGTCGTCGTCGTCCGTCGCAGCACGACAAGCAAAACAGATGATGGTTACGTTCCGAGTTTGAGATCATAACAACGCCACGGCGACCACTTTTTGCAGATAAAATACACTTTCCCTCCATTATTCCTAAATTTTATGGCCATTATTTTCCCTTTTTTTTTTTACGCTATTCCGAAATTATTCACTCAAAAAAATACTTTATATTTACATTTAAATATAACAGTGACCTCTATTTGTAGTTTTTTTTACACAATAATTTGGGGATATAAGATCCAACATCCGACTCTAAGATAAAAGGAGTATATATCAATTTTTTTCAACTATGCTTTTGTTGGCGACTTTATTTGTAGTTAAACTATAGTTTTATCGCTAATATGAATATAGCTTAGTAATTTTGAGACGACTTTATTTTTAGTTAAACTATAATTTTATCGCTAATATAAATATAGCTAGTAATTTTGAGAAAAAAGCAAGTATTAGTGTAGAAATTTGTTTTATACTCCCTCCCTGCATTGTTTGTAATATTTAAGAATAGTGTGAATCCATATAGATAATAATAAATTATTCAATGATATATTAAATTGTGAATGAAGTGATCGAGTACTCTTATAATACTATAAATATTCTCATTTATTAAGGTTGTAAGTTCAAATCTAGTTTACATCCCTAAAATTTTAGAACTTTTATTTTAATCTCTTGTATCTTAACAAGTTCCGAATTTAGTTCTATTAGACAAAATTTGAGTCATAAATTAATGAAAAATTTGTACATATCAATCGACACTTATATATAACTACTTGTGATACGAAGATGGAACTGTAAATCTTCAACATATCACTCATAAAACAATATGTAAAAATTTAGATAACGTAAGATTAAAGTACATCGGACGAAAATAATTTAAAAGGTTAGATGAAATTTAGTTATAAAATTTGAAGGATTCAAGTAAATACGACACCTATTACTCTTTATATCGATGGTAATTCGGTTCTCCACCTATCATTGTTGTACTAAAAAATAGTTGGAAGTAAAATAAATAAATAAATAAATATAGGTTTTAATTTGATCCCTACGATTTAAGTTAAGTTTTACTTTGGTTAAACATTATCGGTCATCTCTAAATTGTATTTTACCAACCCCAAAAGCCTTCCTATAGGCTATATTCTTATATTTGCACTAAATCATAATATAGTCCACTAATACTCTCTTAACAAAATAGATATCTATATTACAATGACGATTGACGATTTTCAACATGATTGTTACAGTGACGATTTGTGAAGTTTAACTAAACTATTGAATTCAAATTGGAACTTTTAAAACCACACCAACTAAATTGAAACTAAACCCAAACCATAACTACTAAATCAAAACTTCTAAGATCACAGTGCCCAAGTTTATAATTTTAACCTTTCTTATCATATCATCGGAGAAGAAGCTATCAAATCTGTATCCTAGTAGTGTAATTTCTTCAAATAAATTTATTGTATGTGTTTAGCTCTTGACAGATAAGATGTGATTTTGTACAGGCACAGTTGATTTGTGAGATCATTTTGAATATATAAAATTAATTTGTAATAAGACATCACAATAATGTATTGGTTATCAGGCTAACCGTGAAACCCAACAAAGCACCAGCTGCAACTTCAACCTCAGTGTGGCCAATTGATTCCTTAAATGGCTTCCAAAGATTAGCCTTTGTTCTTGACCCTTCTTCCATATCTGCTGCCAAGCTTGAGGATGCAATATCCTCCTTTACTGGACTCGGAACTTTTAAGGTCTTGGTTCCTTCCTCGGATAATATGGGACTGCTGCTCTCAAGGTTTCTATTGAGTGGTGATGTTCTATTTTCGAGCAGGRAATCGGCTCGATGATCTTGATCTTTACAGGGAAATGACGAGGTCACTTGTGTCTTTGTCTGCAACAGCTTGTTGATGGCTTTAGCATGATTTCCTACTTCCCTCCTCACTCCCTGCAAAATGAGAAACTTTGTTATTGGTTACTCTTACTGATACCAAAAAAAAGCAGGGCCCTCCCATGAGAAATTTCTGAGCGTTTTTCGATTCTGTTCCTAATACTATACTGCAGGAGATTCTAAAAATGGAAAGAATGTATATAGGGAGGCTAGAACTGCAAACGAGTGGATCTTCCTCGGGAAAAAGGTGGAGTTTGTTAGCTAACCTAAGTATCAATTGCTTAAAGACATGTATTCTCGACCAAAAGGTTGGAGGTTCGAATTCCTACCCCAGCTTGTTTTTTAACTCAAAAAATGGGAAGTTCACTAAAAACTCTTCTGATCTCCCTGAAGAGGAGGCCCAAGATCATAGGCCAGCTTCCCGCACCACAAACAAACCAATCCACCACAATTTTGACTTCTCCTAGATACAAGTAGTCCCCGAGGCCTTCTCGAAAAGTCTAACGATATTAAGTATATTTTTCAATTTTGAGTGATTGTACAAATAAAATACTAGATATCATTAGCCAAGTATGAACGACCGATGTAGTGGGAGCTCATCCCTTGGGGGAGGTGGATAGCCTAAGCCTGGCATAAAGTCCGTACCGGACAGTACAACCTACTCCCAAGCTGGTCAGAACGAAGATACGTCAAAAATGATTGTCATAATGACATAATATCTCCACCAATCGATTCGTAAACCTATCGTTGCCCAAATTATGCAAACCTGATGGATTCCACCACACGAACCACCAAACCTCTATAAGGTAACTGACTAAGATAATCTGCTGCAAATACTAAAAGAAAAGAGAATAAGGGATCTCCTTCCCAAAGATCTCTAGAAGCATGAAACTATCTAGTGATCTAGGTTTGATTTACAATATAATCGAGAAGTTAGTGCTCGAGATTATAGCCAATATCAACTTCCTCCACCTTTCCCTAAAGCCTTCTACTTGAAGGATGGAAATCAAGGGAAAACCAGTCAACTTTATCACAAGTATTCTGAAGATGCAATTAAAAACCATCCCCTTTTTGTCTCTTCTTTTGGAATCATCCACCACATTTTTTCAATTAAGATGAGGTCTACGATCTGCCTACAGCCAACAAAGGTAGATTGGCTGGTGGAGGGGAGAACCTGTTTAAGTCCAACTTTAGAACATAATCTAATAAACTGCAGTAGGGGTCTAAACTCTCTAAAGTTGCTAACTATTACACACTGTATACATGCATACACATATACGTGCACATATGCACATACATACAGATATGAACATACTTATCATTTCCATAAATTATTTTCCTTTGGGAGTGTAACTTCCTATGCTTAGATACTACAGAAAAGAATCTTGCTGAGTGTAAGTGATCTCAGCAGAAGCCAAGGGATGTAAAATATATCGTAATAGTTAGTATTTTAGATCCAAATATGCTTGAAATGGGGCCAGCAGATAAACTAGTTCCAAGATCTAAGCGAGTATTTCTATATTCACTTATATTATATTATATATCAGTTAACATAAGAGCATTTATCTGCCTAAATTCAATAGTCCAGTTTTGCCTCCTATGCCTACTATGTTGCATGGCAAGCTATAACACTTTCGGATAACAGATAATCTAATAATATCCAAACGACGCAGACCCCTAATATCTAGCTCAACATTATTTGTTCAACTTCTACAAGGTCAGAGCAACAATTAAGCATGATATCCTAAACAACATGACTGTAAGATCAAAACATGAAACATAGAAATGAAGAAGACTAAAATAAACCAACAGGAAAGAAGAAACTTTGGCACACTATGAGCATGTAAGATTTAAAAAAAAAAAGTTTCTATGATGAATTCCGGATGCAACTAGTAAAACGGTAGTTTTTCTATGCCAATTGGGCTGGTAAATAATGACTATAACTTCTCCAAACATATTACTATTATAATACCCAGATTTTTATTTTATTTTAAAAAATAGTTTCATAAAGGAGGCAAAATTAAAAAGATGAGTTGACAAGGAATCCAAAAAGAAGGAACCTGTACAATTAAAATACACCTAGCTCAGAAAGGCCACCGAAGAATTACAAGCATGTTCTCTTCGTTTACTATCCATCAGTCACGAGGAATGTTTCTGAACATTTTCACAATGGATACCAATCCATATAAAGGAGTAAACCTGTGACATGATAATAAAGTGAATTCTCCCTAGTTCTTAAGACATTAGAGCCTTAGTCCTCAAGAACACACCTATATCTCACCAACCATGTATCCTAGAAAGAAGGCATGGAGCCAGTTTTGCCTCTTCATTTTGCAAACTGTTAAACGACTTACACTCAGCTACTGCACCGACTCACCTAACAGATATCAAAGATGAAAAATGATTTACTACAAATGAAGGTAGAAGAGCCACCATAAATGGTCTAAACTGGCATCTTTCAAGAGAACATACTAATAGGAGCAGAAGCCAAACGAAACGAACAGTAGTACTGCTGCTGCTGCTACACTACTTACTACTGATATGCTACTATTGCCACTGCTGCTGCTACTGCTACTATTGCTACTATGCTAACTCTTGCTCAAAAAGATATTAAAAAAAGTTTAGCCTATTATACAGTGTCACAGTTGGATTTTCTGATGATAATTTTAATATAGGGCCTTAATGCTTTACTTCATTTGATTACTCACACTTGTTCAAGAGTATTGCTTCACTCAATAATACCGGTGCCCAGATGATAAATTATGAGATCATTTTCTCTTTCCATCGAAGTTCCTCGTTAATAGAAGTTCGCATCAGAATATTTAGCAGAAGAAAATAGGGAAAAAATCACAATTAATCAGCAGAAAGATGCCAGGAAAAGAAAAGGGAAGACGATTATAATCAAGTATAACGAGGGCCAAACAAAAAATAAAAAAGAAAAAGAAGGAGAAGACCCTTCATACTTGCCTGAGCATCGTACATAATAAGGGACGCGTAAACTACAGTTAGGCCAAAAATAGAATCTGCAAGACCCCTGCGTTTATATTCTTAAGTAATGTTATGACAAGTAATTCTAAAACACAGGTACATGATTTCTTAAAACGGAAACACAGACGACAAAAAAAGCACATAATAAGTAGCTGATTACCTCTCAGCGCCGAGGATTGTCGCAGCAGCGACCACCGCCTGAAACATTTTCACGAAAACAGCAGTGATGATGGTGATTACATTAACAAAAGAATTGAAAATTACAGAACAAATGGGTCTACTAACAGAGGAATGGGTAGAAGGGAAGCCTCCAGCCTCGAAGGCGGTTCTGAAGTTGAAATCTCTGCCATAGATAATAACAGAAGCGAAAGGCTTCGCCAGTTGCCCGATCGCAGCAGACACACCGGCGGCAACTAAAACCTTGAAAACAAATTGAGCAAAATTTACGGCAAGATTCCTCCGCTGAAAACAAGAGAGAGAGGCCATATCGGTACTGAGTGAGATTAAGGGGAAGGAATTACCTTGTTATGGCTGAGCTGAACGATTTCGTCAAGCAATACAGCTCTGGGAGCGGTGAAATTGGAAGGAGAAGGGCATAATTTTCTGAGATGAATGTGAGAGTAGTGGCGATGATGAGTAATTAGCCGCGGCTGAGACGGAAAAGGAACGGCGGTGGCGGAGCTCCACCATGGCAGTGACATTCTCCTCTTCCGTCTGCAATGGCGGCAAGAAGCCTGAGGAATATATCCAAACCAATGAGTTTTCGATTTAACTTCTCAGGGCAGCGGCCGTTATTAGTCTGTTTTCTTTTGGAGTCCAAGTGGGTCGTGTTTGTCCGTCGTGAACAAGGGAACACCTTTTGGGGGAATAAACGAAGTTTATATTTACATTTTGGTCACATTTTGGTCTATTTATTGTTTTTCGTTTTTAATTTTATGTATTTTAAAAAAATTCCACAAAATTATATAAAAGTTTGGAAACAACAAAATTTTATAATTTTTCATCAAGAATGAATGGAGCATATTTAAATGTCTAGAGTGTTGTTAATCAAATGTTAATGGTTGTTTTGCAATGCACTTTCTTTGGATGTTGACTAATTTTCTCTTTTAGACACCAACTCATAGTCGTTTTGTTAATTTGAGTATACTTCAACGATTAAGGTATCAATGCAGTATGAAAATAGCTTTATTGTTGAATGTATTATGACCTATCTCCTTAAACGACGTTTAAGGTTCAAATATTATCTATCCGTGTTTGAATTAAAAAGAAAAACAATATTAAATTATTGTTAGTAACCAATATTATATGTTTGTGATTTGAATTTCCACCACACGCCTTTAGTGTAAGATTCTAAAGGAAAATAACATATTTCATGGTGACATCTGAATATAATGCGACGCATATTATATGCTAATGGCCTTCTTATGTAATATATTTTTATTTGAACATCAACCTATATCCTATTCGTGCTATGTAGCAGTTGGTTTTCTTACTTTATATATATCTGTCACGTCTAAAGAAAGTTTATTTTCAAAATAATTATATAATATAAAGAATTAGGAATCTTCAATGAGATTTAACTATGTCCTAGGTATTAAAAACTTTAAAATTTGTAAATAACCAAATTCAAACCATATAGTGATAGATTTGTTCACAAGAGCATACTTGGAGGTTGGATACGTCTATCTACTCTAAAGGATGATGGTTTGAATATATGTATCAATTAGTTGAATTATGTTCAAGTCAACGAAATAGTAACCGAGTAAATTACAAACATATCATATTATTTTGATTATTTATACAATAAAACATTTATTTATAGTCCATATTTAAACCATGTAGGTAAGAAAAAAAATTAACCCTTAGAGGTAGAAAGTTGTATCAATTTTCACTATGATTTTTTCTTTCAATTTTAATAATTTTGGGATAAGAGATTGAATTATCGATATTCGAGATGGTAATAAGTATCTTATCTACTGAGATAGACTCGAATTGGCAAGTTGATTCATCAACCATAAACTCTCAATTTCATCTAATTGAATTATAAACTCATATTATTACAATTTTTTACCATCTATTCAATTTATACTAATTCACCCATTAGTCTTAATATGAAGATTGATGGTAAAAAAGAAAATATATATATATATAGTTTAGTGAAAATCAAACTTTGTACAAAATTAATTTGATTAATGTACAAAATCGACTATTAAATAACAATGAAAAAGCTTAAAAATTCAAGCAAAAGCGAGCATAGTTAATTGGTATATATTTTCAACCACAAGGTTGTGGGTTCGATCTCTACCCCACATGTTGTACTAAAAAAACTTAAAAATTTAACAATAAATCATTTATAACCAATGTTTTTGCTTCAATTCTATAAATATCATACTAAATATATATTTGATAATTCATCTGAGAATACTTTTGTTAACAAAATTTTAAATAAAGCTCATCCGAATTTAAAAATTACAACAAAATATAACGTTAAAGGTGTAGATTTCAACACTTGATCGAGTTAAAAAGTACAATTTGATTCAATTAAAAATTAGGTAATGAAGGGTGTTTCCTTGTCAAAATCGTTCTTAGTATATTTGTAAATCTAAAAATAAGAAAAATGAGGGTATTTCTGTAAAAAAAAAAAAAAACCCTGCAGTCAGCGGCAGCACTCGAGAGGCGAGTTTGATCTCCGAAGTGTCCATCTCATCGAAGCCTTTCATATTGCCGCCGATTTGGAAGTTCCACCGCCATCGTAGACACGAAGACTGCTAAAGCAAAAACCTCCCAATAAACCCTAAACGCCGGCGATTCTTCTTCGGCGGAGAGAAATCTCTCTTCCAGTGTAAGTAATGGGACTTCTGCCGGACGAAACTAGCCGTCGATGAAGCGCCGACCGACTTTTATTCGACCCATCATCATCAATTTAGTTCCTAAACCTCCGTGGTTCCACCTATATCATTCGCCCACTGACCCAATCGCCACTTCCAATGAGGTATTCACCATCGTCGAAACTGTCAATCCTTTCGAAGATGCATTGGAACCCATAGCCCCTCATATGTCGCCCGATGTGATTACCTCCGTCATTGAGGAACAGCCGAATCCCCGACTTGGATTTCGACTCTTTATTTGGTCGTTGAAGAACAAGCGCCTGTGCTGCAGCGCCTCGCAGAATTTGATCATCGACAGGTTAGTCAGGGATAATGCCTTCGAATTATATTGGAAAACTCTTCAAGAGCTTAAGGATTCTGCAGTTACAATTCACTCGGACGCTTTCTCAGTGTTGATCGAGGCATACTCAAACGCGGGCATGGATGAAAAAGCTGTTGAATCGTTCGGTCTGATGAAGGATTTTGACTGTAAGCCCAACATTTTTACTTACAATTTGATTTTGAATGTTTTGGTGCGAAAAGAAGCATTTCCGTTAGCATTATCGGTGTATAATCAGATGCTGGAGTGTAATTTTAGACCAAATGTGGTTACATACAGCATTTTGATTCATGGACTCTGTAAAACTAGTAAAACTCAAGATGCCCTTGTACTTTTTGATGAAATGATCAATAGAGGGATATCGCCTAACGAGATAACTTATTCGATTGTTCTTTCTGGATTGTGTCAAGCTAATAAAATTGATGATGCACAGAGGTTGTTCAAAAAGATGAGAGCTAGCGGGTGTAGTCCAGATGAAATAACTTACAATGTTTTGCTGAATGGATTTTGTAAGTTTGGTTATTTTGATGAAGCTTTTGCATTGTTGCAAGCATTTGAAAAGGATGGCCACATTCTTGGAGTCAATGCGTACAGTTGTTTGATTGATGGCTTGTTTAGGGCTAGGAGATATGATGAAGCACGGACATGGTACCAAAAAATGTTGAGGGAAAACATCAAGCCTGATGTTATCTTGTATACTATTATGATACAGGGTTTATCACAAGAAGGCCAGATTAATGATGCCTTGGCATTGTTGGGTGAGATGACAGAAAGAGGGTTTAGTCCGGATACAACTTGTTACAATGCTTTAATTAAAGGATTTTGTGATATGGACCTTTTGGATAAGGCTCGGTCTCTTCGACTTGGGATCTCGAACCATGACTGTTTACCTGACAATCACACTTACTCCATTCTCATTTGTGGTATGTGCAGGAATGGGCTAATTGATGAGGCACAATATTTATTCAACGAAATGGAGAAGCTTGGGTGCCTTCCTTCTGTTGCGACCTTCAATTCTCTCATTGATGGACTTTGCAAGACTGGAAGGATTGCTGAAGCTCGCCTTTTATTTTACAAAATGGAGATAGGGAGAAAACCTTCTGTGTTTCTTCGGCTTGCTCAAGGCGTCAATAAGGTTCTTGATACTGCTGGTCTCCAAGTTATGGTAGAACAATTATGTGAGTCAGGTATGATTCTTAAGGCCTACAAGCTTCTTATGCAGCTTGGTGAGAGTGGGGTTTTGCCAGATATTAGGACTTACAACATTCTAATCAATGGATTTTGCAAGGCCAACAAGATTAATGGTGCTTTCAAGCTCTTCAAAGATATGCAACTCAAAGGGCGCTTGCCTGATTCAGTTACCTATGGGACTTTAATCAATGGGCTCCATAGAGTTGGTAGGGATAAGGACGCTCTAGCGGTCTTCGATCAAATGGTAAAGAAAGGGTGCAAACCTGATTCTTCTGTTTACAAGGCCATCATGACTTGGTCGTGTCGAAAAAAGGATGTTTCACTTGCTTTTAGTGTTTGGATGAAGTATCTGGGGAATTTTCGTGGCTGGAAAGATGAAGATGTCAAAGTAGTAGAGGGAAGTTTTGATAAAGGAGAGCTTGAAAAGGCGATCAAGAGACTAATTGAAATGGACTCGAAATCAAAAGACTTCGACTCATCTCCATACACCATTTTCCTCATTGGACTGTGTCAGGCACAGAGAGTTTCTGAAGCCTTTGCGATATTTTCTGTTCTTAAGGACTTCAAAATGAATACAAATCCCGCAAGTTGTGTGATGTTGATTGGTGGGCTTTGCCTGGAAGAAAAACTTGACCTGGCCATCGATGTTTTCCTTTATACGCTAGAAACAGGTTTCGTGTTGATGCCTCGAATTTGTAACCAACTGCTGAGGCATCTGCTTCTTTCTGAGGACAGAAAGGACCACGCTCTCGTTCTTATACGAAGAATGGAGGATTTTGGATACGATATGGACGCGTATCTTCACTACAGTACTAAGTCGCTTCTTCACGATCATTGGAAATCATTGAATGCCAAAGCCTTCACATCCAGATACACGCAACGATTGCCAATCCACAGCCAAGAATCCTAAATGCTGCATTCCCTCTGGTGGGAAAAAAGAAGAGGACCTGGTGCATAGTTTTTAGGAGTTAGTCCTCTTCCCTAACTTAGCAAAGTCCTTACTCGCTTAAGACCCCCAGTAATCGAGATTTGGCTTGTCAAACCGATTTCGGGTATGTACCAGTAGCAAGAATGTCGATACTTTTCCATTCATACTTCACAGTTTTGTACAACTATCTAGTAGTGTACTTGGAAAGTGTATGAGATTCGTTATTTGAAGGATGGCTTTCAGAAAGCATGGCAGAATTATTTTTATTGGAAGCTTTGGAACTGGCGTTTTGGAAGCTTTTTGTTGTCTGATAACTGTGGTCATTGGGTCTATTTGTTGAGATGAGAATTAGAACTTGATTCAAAGAAGTATCCCATTAAGAGAGATAAATGCATCGGAGGAAGAGAAAGAAAATAGAATAAATTGATTTCAATGGTAAGTAGTTATCTCCTAGCTACCCACCGGTAATCACCTAAATTTTATCTCTTACATTTTATCCTTATTTGTCTGCTGTGAGCAATGGCACGATCCTTATCGAAATTTTCTTGTAGCTTGCCTTGCTAGGAAACTCAGAACCATTTTGCCTTTTCAAAAAGAGGAAAACAGTGACGATATTCTCCCATTCTGGCTAGGTAATGTTTGAGTTTATGTTCTTTGCTTCATTTATTATGACATGATAATAGTTTAATCCAGTTCTTATTCTCACGAGAATGGATTTGTGTTCATTTAGAATGAGTTTGTGATGAATTTTGAAAATTGTGCTCAGTACTTTTAGGAAAACCACTGGTATTTTAACAAATTTGATTATATGTAATTTTTTATTTTTGGGGGCAAAATGTACTTGATTTGAATTTGATGTCTATTTGGTCTCTTTCCAAAAGAAACGTTATAGTCTTTAATGTTTGAAAAACAGGCAACTTCTATAGTGACAAGCAACAGCCAGAATAGCTCCGCTAGAAGAGGTGCATAGCAAAAAAAAAGGAGAAAGAAGGAAATTTAACGGTCACATTATTTTTCTGTTTTTTTACTAACTTACAAACGACTCCGGACTATTTAAAATTATTTAATCTAAATATATTTAATCTTTAATCTTTTTATTTATTTTTCTGGACAGCAAGTCCATTTTTTCTTCTTTAATTTTATAATATTTTAAAATTTTCATAATCAAGTATTAGTGAATTTGCGTATTGAATCTTGATCTAGAAATTTTTTTCTTTGTATCTGGAAAGTTAAATAAAAAAATAGTTATCAAATATTAATTTAATATATTGTCTTTTAGATTATCATAAACGACCGAAAGACATTATTGTATCTCTATAAGCTTTTTTAATAGTTAATTTGTTGTTAGTATTTATTAATAAATTCAATCAAACACACTTATTTTCCACCAACTAATTTGGAGTCGTTATGAATTTAATTTTACAAAAGAGTACATCTCAAATCACTAAGATAAGAGTAAAATTCTAAGTTTGAATTATCATCTTAGATTTAGTTTCAATTTCGTCCTACGGCTTTAAAAACTCCATCTCAATTTTATTATTTTTGGCTCAACCTTATGAATCTCTTTTACCCGCTCATTCATTTTTTGTTTTACAGAACTCTAGACACTAATATAAATTAACACCCTAATGAGAAAAAAAAAAACCAATTTGTGAGACATTAGTAGACCAAAAATGTTGAGGGCAAAAAAATAGCCTTGTCCCATGGATAATAGGGGAAAGGCAAAAAGGTAAGGTCTTACCTCAGGACTCTCTTGGACATATTCCACCTTCTATACTTAGCTAGAAAACACTGCAGCGACACCTCCTTAGAACCGTATGGCGGATGGCTGATCCTAACCTATGAATAGAGAGCTTCACTTTCGCATCAAGTATTGTATATCGTATTCTATCTCGGACTCTGTATTAAAGTTGAGCTAACACTGACATGAGTATTAGAGTGTTTGCATCTCTCGTGTAGGTTTTTCTTTGCTAAAGACACTCAAACTCTTTCCTACGTCATACTTTAACTTAGGTTAACCTCAACCAATTTTGTTGCATAAAACAAAATAAATAATTGAAATGTCTAAAATCATAATAATAAATTTAAAATTTTTAAAATTATACCCACTAAATGTCCAACCCACTTTGCCAAATTCGTAATTAAAATAAAAAAAAAAAGTCATTTTCCGTTTACGAGGGAATGCTCTGGCAGTTGGCGGCGAGGAGTTTTGGGTACTCCGCTGGTAGGAAACTGAAAACAACGATTCAAAGCAAACGAACTGAGAAGCCGGAGTCAACACAGCCATAAAGATGGACGGAGAACTACCGCCGGCGTCGGCTCCGTCGTCCATTCACCCGGCCGTAGCACCGCTGTCATTCTTACTTGGAACATGGAGAGGCAAAGGCGAAGGCGGATTTCCCACCATTAATTCCTTCTCCTACGGCGAGGAGCTCCATTTTTCCCATTCCGGCAAGGTAACCTTCAACTATTTGTTCTTCGTCTCAATTGTTTCCTGTTTTTTAATCGTCTTATTAGTGCAATTATAATCGTCTGTTTTCACGCCAATGGACTGTGCTTATTTAGCCTAATCGATTATCTTCTTTGTTTGGGGATTTTTGAATACGATGACCGTGGGAGAAGCCAGTGATTTCATATACCCAAAAGACTTGGAAGCTCAGTTCTGGAGAGCCAATGCACGCTGAGAGTGGCTATTGGCGTCCCAAGCCCGATGGTACAATTGAGGTAGTCATCGCTCAAAGCACTGGTCTCGTTGAAGTTCAGGTAAACCATAGGTTATCTTTCCTTCTCTCGCGCTTCACTATTAAATTCAGATTCATCGGTCAAAAGAGAATTGTTGTTGAAAATAGACGTGTTTATGTTTTCCGATTTTGATTTAGGGAAGTAGTGATGGAAACTTACGGATTCATGATATGATGATGAAAGGCTCTAAGATGTGAGCCCTAACAATATAAAGCGACATGAGTATCTAGCGGTTCTGCTATGCGTTCTCCTGTTATAATTTCGTAGGAAAGGCTGAAAAGAGTGGAAATGTTGATCATTCATTTGCAACAAATGCACAAATTCTGAAAAACAATAATTATTGAATTGCAAAGGTCCCCCCCCTAAAGCCTCTATCATTTTTCTCCCTGAAAAAGGCTAGTTCAGGGGTCTAGGTGTCTTGATGTAGGAAATTGTGGGTTACTTCCCTTTTAGTTCTCTGTTTTGTCAGTAAATGATTTTTAGTTAGTTGTTTTAATCATCTATAAATAGAGGTATTAACAGAAGGCTTTCAGAAACAACACTTAACTGTTAGGTTTTTGGTAAAATATTTAGAAGAGTAAAAATCCCACAACTGAAAGTTGCAGTGAAGTGATGTGCTCTAGGTGCTATAAAAGGAGCTTATTTATTCCAATTAGGAACACTATAAACTCGACATACTAACTCTAGTTTTGTGAGTAGTAAAAGATACCTGAGAATGTTTTTTTAATTGGGGTCGGGGAGAGATTTTTCTGTTATTTTTTCCCAACATGATCTTGTGTAAACATTGATATTGAAAATTCTTGGAGAGTGCATAACCTGCATCATGTTTTTTTATTATTTTTTTTTTTACAAAACAAAATTTTCTTTGAATTGGATGCAACGTATAAAAAAACTCCAAACGGGGGCACAGAAAAAGAAAAGAAAAGGAAAGAAAATAGAACTTCACTTGAAGGCTACAGAGGAATGGGATTAATTGCTGAACACGTTTGAACTTGAACTTCGAAGAAAAGCAACAAGGTTTTGGTAATTCATTTTGTGTAGGAAATGTACTAAAGTTGGTATTTCAGCTTTATGGATACACTCAGTGGTCGAAACAGATGAGTCAGAATCAAAGCTGAACTGCTCAAATCCCTCCACCCTGTGGATGTGATAAAATTGATTAAAATACAAGTGTTTCTTTCTTCCTTTAAGCTGCCTATCTTCTGGGGTTGAAATTTATTAGCTGCAGATTTAATGGCTCGTGATGTTGGTGCAGAGTGCCGTTCTTTATTTTTGCTTGATATGTGCATCTTCTTCACATACAACAGAAAGAATTAGTTAGAGTTAGAGGAGTAGGTGTTATGGTGCAACTGATAAGAAGAGAAATAAGCCACATTCTGAGGAGGTTCTCCTAATAGGATTGGGTTTAAACATATCTGAGCATCAAGTTCTGATGATTATATAAGGCTTTTAAAGGAAGAAGTAGAAGAAAAATAGATTTGTATTGGTAGCTAATGTGAACTTCCAGCTTACCATTAATGCTCTGATTTCAATAGCCAATTTTGATTTGTTTTTGACGTTGAAATTTTATAACCAGTATTATTTGCATCATCACCATCAATTTCTGAATATTGGTTTCCATTTCCTGAAACTGTAAAAGATCATCTCAACTCATTGAGACATTTCTTTTACTTATTATTTAATTTTGACGTTACTTGGCTCTCTTCCAGAAAGGAACATATAATGCAGAAGAGAATGCGATAAAGCTTCAAAGTGAGCTTGTGGGGAATGCTTCTAAGGTAATGTTTACGATCATCGTTATTCAGGGCAATATGAAATACTAATATATCATTACTAGGCTTCTATTTTGTGCTCCTCCCCCAATTGCCTTGTTCCGCGATTGATAGTTAATTGTTATCCTCGCCAACTATGACAACTAATTCTTAGAGGGTATTTGTCTCTTAAGTTAGATTTTGTGTAACCTAAGGTCAAAGTAAAACCCATATATTTATTATGTTTAGTATGTGAAGGTATCCATCTGAACTATTGGTGTGTTAATCCCACAGACTCCATAAACCGAATTTACATTAATTGGAGTTTATGAAATTCATGTTTCTAACTTCATACATCATATTGTTTCTAGTATTTGTTGCACATCAATAGAGCATACATCTGACTATATGGAAAGAAAGGAACTCTAGGATTTTCAAAGAAAAAGAAAACTCTTTCCAGCACTCTCAATCTCTTTTTCAGCCTCATCGTGGTGTCACCCCTTTTAACAGCTATATCTTGAACTGTCTCATATTTAATTGGAGAAGTTTTTTGTAACCATCTTGAAATAGAGTTTTACCATTTTGTAAATTTTAAGCCATCGATGAAATCGTTTCTTATAAAAGAAAAAAAATGCTAGTATGGTGGCAGGGCTTATTAGATAGGAACTTTAACGGACATGCTAAATCAAATGTTTAAATTATTTGTTAGTCAATAATCAGTTATATTTCTATCAACCGCCATAAAGAGCCAGGCTATTTATGTTTGTACGTAATAGGTAAAAGAAATAACCAGAGTTTTTAAGCTGGTGGATGGAGATCTTTCCTACGTTGTTCAGATGGCTACCGGCTCAACCAGTCTTCAACCACACTTAAAAGCCTTGCTTAGTAAAGTTTGAAGCAAAACAAAATGGTAAGTGCTCATAAATCCTTTCTTTAATTTTCTCTTAATGGACTGAAGTAGTCTTGTTAAGAATACTAATAAAAGCTACATAAAATCTATATTGAACTGAAATTAGCAAGTTTCGATGTTTATTTCTACATTCCTATGGCTCCTATTCCTCCATTCCTCTCTCTCTCTTAGGGTAAAACTTAATACCAATGTTTTCTAAATGTTTCTTAGTTACGATTAGGCATTCATAAATTTGTGTGTTAATTTAGAAAATATAAGACTTTTTTGTTTTCAGACACAGTTCTTTTAGAACATTATGAAATAAACTTTCAGATAACCCATTTCATGTTAGGTGCAGAAAAAAGTTGATGAAAGTTGTAGATTTCACACTCAAAATTTGGCAAACATATCAAAACAAAAGGACAAAAAGGGAGGAAAAATTCATCTGAAATTTAAGCCTTCTTCTAAAATAAACAAAAATGGCATGTGAAGAGGCCACGGAATTGTGAGGAAATGAAAAAGAAAAGATGGCAGTGTGGGAGCATAAGAGACAAGATTTGGGCATTTTAGCCATTTCAAAACGCTCTATTGATTTTGATTTGGTATTTGGTGTAAACTGTAAAGGCATCCATCCAGCAAGTTGAAATATTGATCGGTGATTATAAGAATGTTAGTATTCTCTTTTGTTGTTCACAACTGTCCAAATTCTTCTTTATAATTTATATATAACTATATTGCTTTTTATATAACTATTTTTTTAATCCATTATTCGTTTCATATTAGAAAAAAACCTTTGAACTCTTAGATGACATTTGATTCATAGGTTCTAATACAAATCTGAGTTGAACTCAACGTGTGGTGTGATAAATTTTAGTTTTCTATTTTAAAAAATTATGCTTATTTTTGTATAATTTCGTTCGTAGATTTTTCACATCTCTTGAAAATATATTTCAATTCTTAGATAAATTTTTTTATTTTCAAAATTTAACATAAATTTTAAAAATGTTTATAAAAGTTGTATAACAAAATAAGGAAGTTGAAAGTAAATTTCTATGCTTACCAATGAAATAGGGGCTTAAGTTACATGTTTATTTTTTATTTTTGTAAATCATATTTTTACAAATTAAATACAAGATTAAATAAACAATTTAGGTTTTTCTTTTATCTTGCATACTATAAACTCAATCTTATTAAAATTATGAGTGAAATATTATTTTTAATGATGACAAAAACAAAAAATACAAATAATAGTGGAGTTTTTTCCTCTTCCCATGTTAAATGGGGACAACTCACCAGTCACCGGTACATTTCCTCGTGAAAATGAAATAACCGCGTTTCTTTTTTCCACCTTCTTATTCGTTGGAAATTACCTTCTTCTTGTCAACGTCATTTCTCAAGTTTGTGCTTTAAAAGACATTTCTCAAGTGGCTCAATCCGGGCCCACTTCCCGAAATCTAATGAATATATAAAATAAAACACATATAATAATATAAATATCGAAATGTATTTTTAATCATTTTATTTGTGTCTTGGTCCTTCTTTTTTTTAATTCAGGTAATTATTTTAACGATTTAGTTTTATACTTTAAAATTATAACAATTGATCTATTATTTTGAATTTAGACTACTAATATGTTTCTTTTCTTTTTTTTTTAGTACTATAATACTAATATGTTAGGAAATAAAGAAAATGCACGTATACATTATTCTTTGTAAATATTTTTATTGAGAGTTAGGTTCCATTGTTTCTTTAAAAATAAAATTTTCATTTTTAATTTATTGTCACTATTTAATTAATTTAGCCTTACAATTATTTAAAGTTGAAAAGAACCCAAGATACTAGTCTATCATATTCATATGACCTGTGAGGCACAATCTTATTTTTTTGTTGTATATATCTTTGTAACTGAAATTATAATGTAATTAAGTTTAAATAATTTTATAATTGAAACTATACAAATTTGATAAAGTAAAGTAATTGTTTAAATAATAAAAATATCCAAGAAATTGTGATTTAATGATCTAAGGGGGGGTGAATTGTTGGCAATAAGGTTGATTGGTCAACTAATTTTGTTTGCTTTTCTTAATACCAAAATATCGATAATCTTGGAGTGGTAAAATTTCTCCAATCATATCTATTTTTTTCGGTGCTATGATTTTGATTTGACACTTGGTTTGAAATACTTAGTTAGTTCAAAATGATCAATATTTAGAATCAGAACTTTTAACTCAGATTTCATGTATTCTTCTTTAAGTTTTCTATAATTCTTGGAGGATTGACTTAAAGCTTCGTAAAATTTGGTGTCTACCTTTATTTAATTGACTTGTTAATATAGATTAGGATTGTCGGGCCCTCTCCTCGTTCCGCCCGCTGGCCTATTAGGTAGGATAGCTGTCTTCGGGCTTTGCCTGCCCTTTCTCATAAAGAATTCTGGTTTGGCCCGGGAAAGCGCTGACAACAACAGAAAGGAAGGGGTCTATGTAGCTGCTGCGCCCGCCCCCTTCTTAGTTAATGGGGCAGCAGGTTCGGCATCCACTTCAGATAATCACGCCTCTGCGTGGCAGCATGTGGAATGGCCGAGAGCGGGGAGTAACCTTTCGGTAATTTAGGTTGGGGTGTTTATGAGTTAGATTGAAGTATTTTTTAAACAAAATCAAATTGTTGGAGTTGTAAATTTATTCAATCCGAAAAAATTCTTACTAAATAATGAACATATTCCAATTCAAATATGAGTTGAGTTGGTTGAGTTATTCGAGTCATTCAAAATATTGTATAACAAAAAATAGTAAAGGTTAATATTTTAAATAATTATATATATATATATATATATATATATATAACCTCGAATTGATTCGTAAATGAATGTTTATTGCGGTGAAAACTTACTCTAAAAAACTTTTAAAAAATATTTTAAATAGTTATTGGAGAATAAGTAATCCAAAATTTAAATAAATAAATAAATAAATAAATAAATAAATAAATAWATATATATATATATATAATTTAGTATTATTGTCATCCAACAATTTGTTATAATTTCTTTGGTACAATTTTTGCATGTAGCAAACTTTGTACATTTATATTCAATTGCCTTGTTCGGATTTTTTTAGCAATTTTTTTAAAATATCATATTACAATATATGAGAAAAAAATTAAAACATTTATTAATATTTTACCAGGTTAAAGTACCTTATTTGGATACATTTTAAGCACCAATGGATTCCAACTATTCATAATTTGTGGAAAAAAAAATTAAAAGGAATTTTAATGGTTAAGCAACAAAAACTTACACATATAAAAAGTTAAAAGAGGAAGAGATTTGGGGTTCTAAAATTTGTCATTGTGTCAGCTGATGGATTTCTGGCCACGTAAATACGGTGTGGCCAACGAACGCGACGAAAGAACAACAAATTTTGGTTCCAAAATATTTGTTATTTTATGGATGTCGTAATTTTTACTTCAATTTCTCCATAATTGCATACTAAAATTTCATCACATATCCAACTGGTTGTATTGATGAACTTTTGTTTCGAACCAATCACAAATGAAGTGATAACTTGCAAATAAAATTTTACATCAATCTAATATAATGCGGTATTCGACCATGTACATTCCAAAGTTTAAGTTAGAATTAGTTTGAACTGAYATCGAGTCAAACTTAGTTGGATTGCGAAGAGATCGCGTACATTTATAAAGGAGCTATTTTCGGACGATTGGTCTGCATATAGCAGGCCATGTTCTACCGACTGAATTATTAGTTAATTTTATTTTATTATATTCTAAAAATAAAAGGCACATTTCAACACTATATAAAATATTAGGATAATTAATAATATATATTAAAATATTATCATTCAAAGTAGAGTTTTAGGGATGACCATATAAATTCACTTCTAACAAAAGTTACATAGACATGTTTACCATGTCTAATTTGTTACAAACAATTCATTTTTTGTTTATTAAAATCAAGTTTATTTGCTTAATTTTATTATATGGTTGACGTGTGAATTCAAACCAAGTTACTAATACGGATCCGTGGGAATTTCCACATCACTTAGCAGAACTTGGGCTTGGCCTGAGGAATTTACCCACATGTAGTAGTAGTTTTTCACCAACAACACACGTAAACTTATATTCTAAACAACATATATCAATCAAGTATATATATATATATATATATTCAACTCGGGTAAAAATTTAAAAAGAATAAGTTGCCTATCAGCTAACTTATGACTTAATTGGTCAAAAGACATTAGTAATCAAAGATTACCATCAAGGTGACACGATAAAAAAAGAAAAGTGAATGTTTGGTGGCCCACTAATCTTGCATTTGTGGATCTAAAAAAATGAAAACAGGGTATTTACAAAAGTTTAAGACCAAATCAACCTAGAGCAAATAAAATGGGAAAAATATAGAGGACAAATTAAAATAAATAAAAAAAGATTTAAATTCTATTTTAATCCGTCAAAATAGTTAAAATCTAATTTTGTAGTGGAGACTACGAAAATAAAACATTTGAACTTTCTTTGTTGGTTGTTAATTGATGAGAAAGTTTGTTATAAAAACAGGGAGGGGGAAAGTCAGAACATTAGGGCTTAGGGGCACTCTAATTTGAGCCCTTTTCAGTTGAGTTTTCCCAGAAATTTGCCCTTTTAAGTCCGCCATTATCATCTTCCTTCCTGCTCCATCTCTCTAACATGCTTGTATGTTAGGTTACAGGAAGCCAATGTCGCTAATTACACATTTTTTTCTTTTCTTCTTCTTCTTCTTCCTGATCTACGCCGCCTCCGGCGAACATGAGTTCGTCAAGCTGGATCTGTTACACCGCCACCATCCCAAGGTCATGAAGAAGATTCACGGCGAACCGAAGGTTCTAGGAATCCACGATCGCCTCAAGGACATCCACGAGCACGACCAGCACCGCCACCGCATGATTTCCGAGACGCTCAAACAATCCAAGGAGAAGGTGCAGCCGCCGGAGGCTCCGGCCATCGATTTTCCCAAGCCGACGGGGCCGCCGATAGGGCTGACAACGCTCTCCGCCGCGGATTACGGGAGCAGCCAGTACTTCGTG